ATATTAGGTAGTGGAACAATTTGACCTTGTCGACGTGTACGTATTAATGCAATTGGATAAGTAACTAATTGACCGGTAAATGATGATATTGCGCCACAACCAAGAACTACATAAATTGGTGGTTCTTGATTATTATGTTTGGTAATATAAAGACGTTTAAGAGTCTAAATTTTATAAAAAAAATATTAGAAAAAATGATTTCAAAGAAATTCTATTGATTTATTTACTTCATAACATGCTAAATCAAATCCAGCATAAGGAACAATACCAATTTGATTGAGTACATAACCGCGCCAAAAAGCTTTTGGACCTTCAACTCTATATATACGTTTAACAGCGTCTGACCAATGAGAAAATTCTCCTGTTCGTCGTAAACATAAACGAACTTTTAAAACCTGAATACAACAGAAATATAATTATAGAAACAAAAAATTAATAATTACATCTAGAGGATAAATAGCAGTTTGAGAAATAAAACCAGCAGCTGCACCACTAATAAATCGTTCAGAGATCGTTGTTTCTGTATGTGATTCTTTATTTTGAATTTTTTGTAATACTTTTTTCGTCTAAAACATAAAATAATAAATATAAATTGAGTATATTTATTACAGAATCATAACATACTTCTTCATAGAATGCAAATCGAAGTGCTGTTTCAGGTATAATTTTCAAAACATTTACACCATTACCACGCCATAAACTTCTTACACCACCTTCTTTCACTAAATATCGATAACCACTTATTACAGATAGACGATGTCTTGAGCCCAAATACTAAGAAACCTAACAATATTAATCAATCCTTTAAAATTCTAATGATTTGTGAGATAGTGCAATTGATGTTTTTTTTTAGCAGCTGTCTACCTGCATGATAATTTTGAGTCGATCAAATGGAGCAGTAGCTGTTCTTGAAACAGCGCCAGCAACACCACCTGCAACAAGATTTCTCCACCATTTTCCACCCTCACTTATAGCATCTGTAGATGCACCATAAGATGAATCACCTAAATCTAAATACTAATTAAATAACGAAGAGTATTTCTTTTGCAGAAAAGATTCAATAATATATACTGATGCACTGCGCCAATAACGAAGCATTTCACGTGGATCATTTGTAACACTTTCAAGAATCGCTGGATTAGTCATAAAGAATGAACGCCATTCATCAAAGGAAATTTGTAAAGAATTATCTTGATCCATTCTAAATAATAAACAATCATTTGTCAAGCAAAATATTTAATCATCGATAACTTACTTTTCTACTAATTTTTTTGCTTCTGCTAAATCAAGATTAATTCCAAGTTTTTTAAAATAAAAAGCTAAATCTTCCGCATCAAATTTTCCTAAACAAATTAGAATATATATTCCAGTTTTTTTTTGTTTTTCTCTCTATTCTACCTTGATGACTTGCATCGACTTTTCGAAAAACTAAACTAAGTTTCTTTTCTTGTTTTAAAACATAATCAGCAAATTGTTGAAATGAAAGAGATGATGCATCTGATGATCCAGCACCTTGATTTATAATACGCTATGAAAGTATAAGAAGATAAAATGTATGTTTATTTTTGTTGAAAAAATAAACTTACATGTGCAATCGCTATACGTCTTTTAGGTGATTTTTCCACACCAAATTTTTCTAATAATTCAATTAATTCGTCAACATCAACGGTTCCATCATTATTTTTATCAACACGATGAAACAATTCATCAAATGAAAGTTGTTTTTCGTTTAATTTTTGATGAATTTCAGCATCTTTTATTAGATCAGGAGAAGTATCCGTCATGATTTCTTTTTTCTTTTTTTTGCTATTTGCCTATCATTATTAGAAGATTTTGTCTGAAGGAAAAAAAAATTCATTCAGAGATGACAAAAAAAAAACAGATGCAATAAAAAAATTTTTATTCTTGTTTGTTTTTCGTTCTTTCGTTTCTTTTTTATTTTTATCTTTTAAATATGCAAAAAACAATGTGAACTCTTAAACAAAAGCACACGTTTTGTTTATGCTTCATCAGCGGGTATTTTTTCGCTGACATAAATACCGTCAAGAAATTTACGGATATCTTTATTCTTGACTGATGTTGACATTTGAATAAGAGCAGCTAAAATAATAAGAATATTAATTATTTATTCATAACAACAACAAAAAAGAAAATCAAATAATTTTACCTGATCGTGAGACAAGTTCAATATCATTGCCTTCTAAAACAAGTTCATCTTTTTGTTTTGTACTTGCTGTTATTTTAACACCAGGTTGCATTTTAACACGACGAACGTATTTTTCACCTAAGAAATTACGAATTTCAACAGCTTGACCATTTTCTGTAACAACGGTGTTGATTGGAAAGTGAGCATAGACTGAACGCATTTTATAGCAAAAGCCCTAAGAAAAAAACGAAATAAAAATTATTATTATCATCGACATATGTATATATCTTAGTACAGAATAGTATTATAATTTGTGTATGAAGTATTTACTCTTTAGATA